TAGTTTAGTACAAAGTGTATGAAAATCATTGATGTGACAATCCGTTACCGTGGGACGAAATGTCTTGGAGTTTAAAATTCGATCAGTATGCCAGGATGAAAGTGAGGTATGCACAGAATAAGTTGTACAACTGTTATCGTCCGATCTATGACACAATTTCCAAGTATAACCTTTCTACCTCTTCCTTAACCGGACGAAGTGATTTGAAAATGAATATAATAAACTGAGTAATCAGTCAGTAAAAAGTTAACCAAAGAAGTGACTAACATTGATAATTCGGTTTTATCGATTGAGTTGATAATGTAAATTAGCCACCGCAGAGATATTCTGAGACTGACGGAGTGACTGACAAATTAAATAGAATGAACAACCCCACTTACCCGGGGTTTCCCACCTCCATGTAAACAGGCCCTAAATATAGTAGCTTATAGATTGCCTAAAGGGATTATCTACTCCTAGGACATGCAAAACATGGCAGACACTAACACCCATAAAAATGGAAATCCCACAACTAACACTCGATTCACACCACCCGAGGTAGATGTTAGGGTTCTAGAGAATCAGGATCTCTCGCAGGACCCAAAGTGTTGTTCTTCTGCTGATAGTAAAAGACTTTGAATCACTAGGTTGTTTGAGTTTTCTTGAAAGTCTTGTTAAGAGTTATCACAATACTCCTGGCTATGAATGCTTAATGGATATCGGTAACGGCAAGAAGAAAATGATGGTTGCTGTAATTAAAAGCGAAGAGGGCTCCAGCACTACAGGAGTTCGCTGGTTAGCGTCCTAAACGCCGCGGTCCCGGAGCTGTCTGTAGGTATCTGTGCCAGTTTGAATGAGGAGAAAGCAAAATTAGGTGGTGTTGCCCAATACCAAAAGCTAGCAACCTACTCCTCCATAAAACAGACGGACAAAGTGATCGAGGATCGAAACATCAAGGCTCCTGTGAGAAAGAAACTGGCGAATCTCATCAAAAGTATTTGAGAGGGATGGAAACAACCCTTAAAGAACTCAACCGATCTGATGGTGAAGTTACGCAGATATGAAATATTATTAAGTGGGTCTGAGGTAGTTATGACAAAAAACGACGTGTTGAACTGATTGAACGTGTTTCTGAAGCTACAGAATATGAAGGGGAAGGTAATGAATAATTAAACTACTTTAGATATTAAGACGTGTAAGAGGCCCTTTTTGGAAGTCTGTCTGTTTGTATTGTCTGTCTGTAATGTCTATCTGTATGCCTGACTGTCTATCTGCCTGTAGTGTCCGTCAGTCTGTTTTTCTGTCTGTTGCATATGCTAGGATACATTTGACAGCTGAATTAGGCAGTCCAGAATAGTTATTAGCTATAGAGGCGAAATTTTGGGCACGAAGGTAACAGGAAAGTTACAATGACACATTTAATTGAGGTATGTTTTTCAGGGAATGAGGAAGGTAAAGAGGGAGGGAGGAGGTTATAGAGAGAGGGAGGAAGCTAGAGAGGGGGGAAGAAAGATGGTGAAGGAGGGGGAAAGATAGCGAGGGAGGGAGAAAGATGGCGAGGGAGGGAGGAGATAGAGAGAGAGGAATATACAGAGGGAGGGAGAAGGTACAGAGGAATGAAGGAAAGTACAGAGAGAGGCAAGGAAGGTGAGTAGAGAGGGAGGAAGGTATAGAGGGGAGAAGGAGGGCAAAGAGGAAAAGAGGAGGTTATAAATGGAGGGAGGAAGGTAGAGAAGGGAGAAGGAAGGTAGAGAGGCAGGGAGGAAGGTGAGTAGAGATGGAGGGAGAAGGGTAGAAAGGGAGGAAGGAAGGTAAAGAGGAAGGGAGGAATGTGAGTAGAGAGAGAGGGAGGAAGGGACGTGAGTAAAGAGGGAGGAAAGTAGAGAGGGAGGGAGGAAGGAAAATGGAGAGGGAGAGAGGAAGGTACAGAGGGAGGAGGAAGGTACAGAGGGAGGGAGGAGGGTACAGAGGGAGGCAAGGAAGGTGAGTAGTGAGGGAGGAAGGTATAGAGGGAAGAAGAAAAGTAAAGAGGGAGGGAGGTAGGTAGAGAAGGAGCAACGAAGGTAGAGAGGGTGGTAGGAAAGGAGAGAGGCATGATGGAAAGTAAGTGGGGAGGGAGGGAGGGAGGGAAGAAGGAAGGTAAAGAGGGAGAGAGGGAAGTTGAAGAGGGAGGAAGGGGATGAAATGGGTGGGAGGAAGGATGATGAGGGAAGGTAAAGGGGGTTGGTGAGAAGGACAAAGGAACGGAGCGATAAAGGGTGGAAAACGGGCAAGGAGGGCAGGACGATGGAAAGAAGTGTGGGAGGAATTGAAGTGAGGTGGGTAGTAAAGAGAAGATGAAGGAGGGAAAAAAGGAGGAAAGGAAGAATTTCGGTGTGCGGCGAAGGTTCCCCTCGGTCAGTGCTCTAGAGTTTCGTTGCTGTAGAGAAATTCCCTTTGTAGACCCAAAGCTAACTTTTGACGAAAGAATCAGCTGTATCACGAGGTTATTGTCGCGCTGGTCAAACCGAACTGAAAACGAATGAGTTTATAGTCATCTGATTCAAGTTAATCTGAAATAGGGATTTTAATAGAGAAAAACTTCTTTAGCTTAAGCATTGCAGTATTGCAGTGGTGCATCACTAGTGGCATCAGTATTATGAATGAATATTTCGTACGCGTCGACTTTAACACAGCTCTTGGATTCGCTACCATCTAATTCAATAAAATTTGTGTTTCTTTATTAATCTCGTTGCAGTGCTGCTATTACAAGGACATCGCTACTGTTGCTTCTTTTAGTTTCTTGAGGGCAGGGGGGAATTGATGGCTCGTGGGATGGATCTTCGGAAACCTTGGATAGGAGAATACACGGCCGTTTCGAGCTTGTGTTTATGCCAGAGGTTTCGCACTGTTCACGTAACAGGATATGGATCAGCTCAGGAAAAGGCTTGAACTTCATTACAAATAATGTATTTCTGTTATTAAAATACGATGGAAACTACAATTGGTAGGATTTTCATACGATGAGAAAAGCGCAAATGTAGTCATGTGGAAAGACAAGGAGTATAAGTACATCTCAAGCGCATGAACTAAACAACAATAAAGAGCTCACCATTCTTCGCTTCTGAAATGTCATTCAAAAAGAATGTTGAACGATCGTGTATGGCGTGGGAACAGGTTCCTTAATCTGCATTCTTTTTTTAGCTGAATTCCTGGTTGTCTTTCCCTGATTTGACCAATGATAAGTGTTCGTAATAGGCGTCTTTGAAGCCGGTACGGAGCATAAGGCCGACGACATTGAAGAGCAAAATCTCCTCGACGTCGACGATCGAACCGCGTCCATTTTGGTCATACAGCCACATCCTTTGGAAAGTAATGTATAGAAATACCCGGTATATGTGTATTATTCTTGAAGCTAGCATCATTTGGCACTTTGGCCACGCAATACGTTCGTCCTTTCATCTAGATTTCTCCTTTCTCCACCAAAGTTGCCGACTTATCTTTACAGTTTTCTACGTCACAGCTGTGTAACATGATCGTTTTGGCAGCGCGCTTAAGGGCGACACTTTTTGGCCACCAAATCGTACTTTCAATGCACAAAAAATGGTCACGGAGCACTCGCTTGGCGCTAAGGTCAATTATGTCCAATCTTGAATACAGCTGTCGACCAGAAAATGCAAAAACAAAAATTTCGTGTCATAGGCACTTTAATGAAGACAATAAAGGTTGGCAAAGAAAGCTTTCAGTATGTTAAGGGCTTGGAAACAAAAAAAGGCTCAATGCCTTGTGTAACGATTTTGTGGGATGCAAACTTCTAGCAAAAGACTTTTCTTGCGATAAGAGTGTAGGGAATGGCTCTCTTTAGTCTTGTATCGCAAAAGTGAAGGCCTTTCAATATTATTTCATGCGCCGTATAACCCCCGCCTATAATACCTATAACCTATAACCCCTGCTGAGACTTAACAAAACCATATACCGCAACAATGTCTCCGACTCCATTGCATTTTTTTTCCTCTGAGAAAATTCTTATGTTGATTCACATGTTGACAAAAAAAAAAAAATAAACGAAAGGAAAACAGAAACAAATTGAAACCTAAGCGGCTAGAATTCTCGTGAAAAAAAATCTATTTCCTTTTTACTTTAAGTGTCTAAGTGTTTAAGTCTAGAAAACTCGGTCTCGTTGCCATTACCTTTCCAAAAAGGCGTAAGATACATGCTTTTGGGAACTCTTTTGTTAAACAAATTTTCCTTCAAATGCGAATTACTAAGTCAGAGCAAGGGTATTATCTCACACATAAAAATTATGTATAAATTCATGTTGAGATATATGATTTTAGAAAATATCTTTGCTGAAAAAATGTTCCTTACAAAGCACATTACTTAGTCACAGCCAGTGTCTTATTTAACATATGAAAATTATGTTTCAGTAACTAAACACCTATCTGAATTAGTAAGGTTACTGGAAAGATCTTTCTTCAACTAATTAAATTTTTTGTAAAAAAAAAAATCACCTTAATAAAAAAACATAATTTTTTTTTAGGAAACTCCCTATAAACATTGTGAAGAGTGAAAAACATTCAGACGTTCTGCCGCCGAGCAGGACATTTCTTTTTATCATAACTTTGATGTTTTATTATATTTTAGGCTCTAAAAGTAATTTTGAATTGTATTTTTTGAGCTCTTAATGTAGTTCTTAAATTCTATTGTTATATTTTCATTAGTCTCTTTGAATATGATAGTTTATGAAAAATTCTTCATACAAATTAATTTTTTAAGATACAGAGACCAGCCTTGGAGTTGAATGGGCTACTTACCCTGTAATTTAAGTTTTACTTTACTTTATCTTACTCCTTAAATTTTTCCATAACTTAATTGAGAAAAGTAAATAGACAAAGAAGAGCAAATTAATATTTTATTGCTTTTAAATTTTTAATCCATGGCCTTGTTGATAAATGCATTAATTGTACGCTAACATTTGTACAAGTCACATAAGTAGCCCAGCCCTTGTCTAACCGTTGAGTTGCTTCGAGATTTTAACCAAAATGTTCTCCAAAACCTTCGTTCTCCTTTGCATATTCTTTTCATACTCTTGCTATTGTGACGGGGATTATTGTGAGCGTTTCAGGGAGTCCTTTGATTCCCTCTTATACAACCGTGTTCTGATCGGCCAGGTGATCAAATCGTTGTTCACTCGTGGTGGAATTCTCTCCTGTGCTCACAGATGCTTGTCTCTTCCGTCATGTTCATCATATAACTACCAAATGTCAGAGTCCGACTATGGCGTTTGTGAGTTAAACGGCGGAAAAGAGGGTGAACAGGAAAACTTGGTGGAAAAACCTGGCTATGTTTTCGCACGGCGGAGAAAGGTAACTCAGCTGTGTTTACCACCTTGGTTTATCTTTCTTAAAATCTCTTCTGAATCGTTGAATTTTTATAAATAAAGCACCAAAACGAAAGCAGAGAAGAGTGAAGTGAACGGAAGGGAGGAAGAGAGGAGTAGAAGAACCCAAAGAGGTCTTTGATAAGCTCGAGATAGGACTTGTTAGAGCTCGTAGAAGTCTAACCCTTCTGCGTTCGTTTTCATTTTCACAGCCGCCACGCAGCTGCAATGAGGCAAGACAGCTGATCAGTAAGCCTGCATCAGGCTATTTCTATATCCAAGACAACAACTGTGATAAGTTTAAAGTCTACTGCGACTTCACCTCAGAGCCCGGCTGGGCCTGGACTCTAGTTATGTCAGAAAGCTTACAGAACGTTGGCAGACCTTTTACCCAACGGGGTTTGTTCAAAAATGAGCCAATGAGCCCAGACGTTCCCAACTGGGAGGCGTACAGGCTTCAATTCGACCGCATGAAAGGGTTGAGATCTGAGTCAACACACTGGCGAATAACTTGCAGTCTCAATCTTGCGAGCGTTGTCGACTATAGAGATTACGTTCGAGCAAAGTTTAAAGACTTCGACTTATTGACTCATAAGAATGGGGGTAATAAAACTTGTGAACTCGTCGATTACATCGATGTCCATGGACACAACTGTAAAAACTGCACCGCAGTTTGGTATCAGTCCGCTGAGTACATTTTAGCCCACAAAAGCTACCAAAACCTCTGCGACTTTGCTAGAGCACCAGGGTCCATTCAAGTTAATGGTACTCATAGCGAGCAAAATTTTGGTCGGTATGCATTTTACAATCCTAACTTCCGGTGCACATCAAATAACTCTGCCACAACCAACTACTGGTTTGGTTCACAAATTTGAAGTCTTTCTCATTGCTCTGACGAGAAAAAAAAACATATAAATAAACTAGCTTGCTGATTATTTCATTTAAAAAAAAGTACTGTGACATCAGTGATGTAAAAGTTTTTCGTTTTTATGTCTTGTTGTTGTTGTTGTTTTTATATGCTTGTTGATATGATGATTAAAAATCAGAGTGATTAGATTTCATAAGTTATACAAAGTACTACAAAAAATATAATTATACAATTAGGTTACGAAATTCATAAATTAGAAGTAACGCTATTCCAACTCTAATATAACTAGTTGAATTGGTAACGGAAAGTAATCCGTATAACATTGTATAATATAACTAACGTGGAGTAATAATTAGTATTGTAAGTAAGATAACGAACTCAGTAGCATTGCCTTGTGTCGTAGATAGCATTAGTTTTGTATTATTAGCTTCAAAAATATTGTTTCTTTCATTGGAGTATTAATAAACAATAAAAACTTAAAAGTTTGAAAAACTTAATATTTTATTAGGCCCAAGATAAGCCACAAAGCTTTGCAAATCTGTTCTATTTGTTTGTTGAATATTTTGGTTTGATTGGCTATCATTTCAGACGTGGCCATTTTTGAGAAAAATGAAATTTCATGAGAATTATCAGAAATAAATAAACAAATAGATGAAAAAGAACAGTTACTAACATACAATATGCATTAAGTTGCGGTATAGGGGACTTGAGCATAAAAATATGGCAAAAATAATGTCACTAATTCCCTATCAAGCTTACAAATGATAACATTCATATTTACATTGTTGACGTGCTCTTAGCTTCCAACTGATTTTATTTCCCCTAGAAAAGCAGAAAAGAAGAACCCAGGCTTCTAAGAAATAATAATCAACAGATTTGCTACTCATCCAAGAGCTATTTTGTGAAATAGTCGGCAGCGCCTAATATGGTAATTTTTTGCTTAGGGTTGCTTACCTTGAAGTCATCTGTGATCAGTTGAACTGCAGCATGGAATCTTAGGCTATAGCTTGAGCTGAAAACAACTTTGCTTTGAATAAAAATTAACGATGTCTCAAATGATTTTGAAAAGCTTGTGCTGGTGTTTTTTTTTCTTTCAGTGGGGGAAAGGATGAGGTTTGGTGGGATGTGATATCTGAATATTTTCTTTGAAATCAACATTGAAAAGCGGGAACAATGTCGAGCGTACACGAAGTGGGCACGCACAAAAACATTTTGCTTCCCGGTTTATTCGGGACTGGTGTCGAGTACATGCCCAGCAGTCTGTAGTTCGACCGACATATCTCGCCTTAGCTTCGTTAAACCTCGATATTTTTCCCTCTCATTCATCGTCCCTTCTTGTTTTTACTCTAAAACCAACATGTACGCTCTTCGGAAGTTTCCGTTAAAAAATATATCATTAACCAAGTGGAGCAATGCCTCTCACAGCTGAGCTACAATTTTGGCAATTGTAGAAAAGAGGCATGAAAAATCGTCAGGCTTCGACAGTATTCGAACTCATGCCTCCTGTATACACTACTTTGGCGGTTCTTCACTTGATTTTCAAACCGCAGCTCATTTTTAATTTAGTACAAGGTGTATGAAAATCATTAATATAACAACCCTTTGCCGTGGATCGAAAGTTTAAATTTCGATTGGTGTGCAAGGATGAAAGTGAGGTATACACAGAAACGTTATACAAGTGTTATCGAACTATTATCTAGCACAGTTTTCAATTATAACCCTTCTAAATCTTTCATACCGAGACTAAATTCTTCCGCGCAGTTTAGACTCAGTTTAATGTTTCAAAAATACTCCAACGTGTGTTGTTTTGGCACAGCAAGGTTTTGTATCGCAAAGTATTCCGTGGTTTTTACCAGTGATTTCAAAATGGATGTAATGAATTGAGTAATCAATAATAAAAGTATTCAACCGTGGAATTTCTTCGTGGATTTGTGGAAATCCCCACTGATTTCAAAATGAATGCAATAAATTGAGTAATCAAAAAGTAATAAGTTAACCAAAGAATTGATAAACATTGATAATTCGGTTTTATCGACTGCGTTGATGACATAAATTAGCCACCGCAGAGATATTGTAAGACTAACGGAGTGACTGACAAATTAAATGAATAAACTCAAATAAAAACCATTGTGGTTTCAGTTATTTTTAACACATACCTAGGATAGTCGAGGCGGTCTTCACGCCCTAATTTTTAGATTGCGTTTTCTCCTTAATATTCTCTACTCATTTCCTGCAGAACTGACAAAGATAAGATGTTGATAATTTCCTTTATGCTTGTGATCTTAATTTTATTTTTTAATCGGGAGTGATACTATAAGGAGATACTAGATGCTGACACTGTTTGGATTAAAATATTGATTGTTTGTGGCGAACTTAAAACATTTTATGGAGACTTTACCCCATTGTAAGGTCGCTCCCAGAAATATAAAGGGTGCGCCCCATCCTTTACCAGTTCGCCCCAAATGTTTTAACTCGTTTCCTTACGGCAGAACACCTTCTTTTTCGGTCGGTATTATAATATACTTCGATCAACATGCAATTTTACAGCAGTTTTACATAGAGAATATTACTTGGGTGCACGTAGATGTGGAATTTCTCGATATCTCACCAGTGGACGCAGGTAAAATTATTTCAAGCGCTCAGTGCGGATACTTCTTGTTGTAACTCACATGTTTGCTATTTTAATCGGTAAAGGAGTCTTCACTTCAGCAAATCGAAATTCCCATTCGACAATTAGAAACATGGTGCAATCCATGTGTAGAATCTATCAGGTGCCGTAACAGGTCAGTCACATTACGCCGTCATAGATGTGATCCGTGATTGTCTACAGATTACACCAGAAGCATAAAAAACTATTTTTATTTTTGCCTTTTGTCTTCGTTCCCTCCTCCTCCCTCCTTGAGTTAATTAATATTTTATTGCTTTAACATTTTTAACTCATTGTCCTTGAAGGTCACCATCACATTAACTTTCCACTTTTCAATTTTTTGAAATTACTGTTTGCCTCCTTTGTCGGGGCCGTAGCAGGTTTTGTTCTCGGAAGGCTAACATTGTCTCGGACACAATTATCTCCCTATGTTTTGAAGCCTAACCCTAAGCACAATTTTTTTGTACAAACGACAGCAAAACAAAAAGCGTAAAAAATTAAAAACTCAACGGGCTAGGTTTCTCGTGAAAAAAAAAAAATCAGTTGTTTCACTAGAAAGTTTCTGAAAGATAACGCTATTTTAAGTGGCACAGCACGGTTTTGCATCAATAGTGAATATTTCTGGAAGACCCGCCGAGACTTTACATAAGCCTTAGTATTAGTAATAATCGAGCTTAATTCCGAACTTGAAATCAAAGTGCCCACTGTTTAAAAGTCTTTTGATAGAAGAACCTGCTGAAAACACTATATGCAGTCATTAATTAACTGTGAATATGGAATTATGACTGAACTGTGCTCGGAGGTGGACTTCGGTGCACTGATCCCCGATCATGTCTTTGCGCGTACACAACCTCATTACCGTGGGTAGAAAACTGGGTCTCTTCGCTATTGCTTTTCCAAAAAAGCATAAGATATATGCTTCTGCTTCTAGAAAGTCTCTTTAGCAGAAGAAATTTCCCTTCAAACGCTAATTTCTAAGTCACAGCGAGCATATTACTTATGTATAAGTCATGAAACTTTGTTGATGAAATGTTAATGATGTTGAAATAAACATTTTTCAAAGTTTTTGTAAAAACCAACTCACTGTAATGAAATAACTCTCTCTTAATTTTTCTTTAACTTAATTAAGAAAAGTAAACAGACAAAGATGAGCAAATTAATATTTTATTGCTTTAACATTTTTAGCTCATGACCTTGGTGATAAATGCATTGTACGCTAACATTTATAAAAGTCAAACAAGTAGCCCAACTCTTGTCTGGCCGTCGAGATTTTAACAAAAATGTTGTCAAAAAGCACTGTTCTCCTTTACTTTCTCTTTTCTTACTATGGCTATGGTGACGAGTTTTACTGTGGGCGTTTCAGGGAGTCCTTTGACTCCCTCTTATACAACCGCGTTCTGATCGGCCAGGTGATCAAGTCGTTGTTCACTCGCGGTGGAACTCTCTCCTGTGCTCACAGATGCTTGTCTCTTCCGTCATGTTCATCATACAACTACCAAATGTCAGAGTCCGACTATGGCATTTGTGAGTTAAACGGCGGAAAAGAGGGCGTTCAGGAAAACTTGGTGGAAAAAGCTGGTTATGTTTTCGCACGGCTGAGAAAGGTAACGTAGCTGTGTTTCCATAACTTTAGATAACTTAAATAACTTTAGAATCTCAGCATTTTCCAGCATAGGTACCTAAACGAAAGAAGAGAAAAGTAGAATGAATGGGAGAGAGAAAGAGTGGAGTACTCCTAAAACAACCTTTCAATGTTTGAAAGGCTCGATGAAGCTTGGACTTGTTAGAGCTTATAGAAGTTTAGCCCTTCTGCATTCTGAGTTTTTTTTTATTTTGGTAGGCACCACGCAGCTGCAAAGAGGCAAGACAGCTGACCATTAACCCTGTATCAGGCTTTTTCTGTATCCAAGACAACAACGGTGATATGTTTAAAGTCTACTGCGACTTCACCTCAGAACCCGGTTGGGCCTGGACACTAGTTATGTCAGAAAGCTTACAGAACGCTGGCAAACCTTTTACCCGACAGGCTTTGTTTGCAAATGAGCCAATGAGCCCAGAGGTTCCCAACTGGGAGGCGTACAGGCTTCAATTAGATCGCATGAAAGGATTGAGATCTAAGTCAACATACTGGCGAAACACTTGCAGCTTCGATCCTGCGAGCGTTGTCGACTATAGAGATTACGTTCGAGCAAAGTTTAAAAACTTCAACTTGTTGACTTATAGGGGTGATGAAACTTGTGAACTCGTCGATTACATCAATGTCCATGGACACAGCTGTGAAAAGTGCACCGCGGTTTGGTATCAATCCGATGGGTACATTTTAGTCCGCCGAAGCTATCAAAAGCATTGCGAATTTGGTA